GACGTGCAATTTGCTAGACGATTACGTTAATCGATTCGTCCTATATAATTAAAAATTTCACGATCGCGTGGAAGGAAACTACGACCGAAATCTCGACGTAGGCGGAACAGGTGTAACGGGTGAACGTTTCTATTTGTTCAGCTTTTTAGACGGCATGAGTAAACGCGAATGCACGAATTGAATTTCTCCAGCTTGCATGCTCACAGTAGCTCGATCGAGGCGTCGTTAATATGCACTACGTTACCGGGCTTAGAATCGCTGCGTGGGCAACGCGTAGTGTTTGCACACTTTCTAAATTTCCGGCCATGTACAATTTCGACGAGTGCCTCTCGAGAGCACCTTCAACGTTTCGCGTCGTCACGGTTCACACGTCTGACGAAATGCATTTAATAATGATGTAATTAAATATTTCTGACATTTACCATCGAAATACATGTCTGACTTTTACACGTGAAACGAAACAGGAAGTGCTTCAAGAATCGTTCTCTCGAATCAAACAACGAATTAACCGTGTGCGACCCTGGTCTACAATTTGTACTCGTTTAACGATTTAATTACAATCGCCGCCCGGTCTCGTTTGGCCCGATGTCGAGGCTTCGCTGAAGCGCCGCTGGAATTTTGTTGACCACTGTTTGCGGTGAAAATCAGGGATGTCTCGCTCGAGTGTGAATCATGGCTCATGTTTTAATCAAGATCAAACTGCAAGTCCTTTCGGTCCTCTGTCGAATCCATTCGCAATCAACGTTTGTTTTAATCTCCTCATAAACGAAGGGGCGCTAATTTAAACGAGGGCAGGAGATACGATTTTCGTCGCGGAAAATGGGTAATAACGTAACGAAATCGTGGATTCATTGAGCGAATCATTCGCTAGGCGTCGCGTGGGCGGTGGACGATACCGGGTCGTCCGTTTAGATAGCGACATCCCGGATGCGGGCAACGAGATATCGGCTCTCCCCCGCATTTCCTCGCGCATCATCCTCCGAAAATGACGGAATTTCGCGCGTCCTCGCGCTTCCTCGAAACGATCGCGTGAAACACGCGACGATGTGCACCTCGCAAATTCCCAGAACCCGTTCGACGGTCCCCCGATTGAAAATTATTCCAGTTTCAGCGCCGAACCCATCGAAGCTTTTTACAAACTAATATTTTAGCGTCGTATTCTGTTGGCACTGGGTTTAGCTTAAGGATATATTGTCTATAC